AGGACAAGACACGGTATAGAGAAGTTGTTCAATCGCTTGATTGTTAAACGTGAGTATGACCCGCAAAATTTAATTAACATGTTTTGTTTAATAGAAAATCAGAAGCTGAAATATTTTGACGACCAGTTGGGACACGCGCGTTAATTCTACGAGGGGATCGTGCACCCCTAATAGAAACTTTGTTTGGTTCGCGTGAGAGATCGCGCATTTTTCTGTTTGGGGAGTGTTGGTGTTTTTATATATATAAATGGATACCCCAATTTATTAGTGAAGAAAAAGATAAAAGCATACAAGGAAGAATAAAAGTATGAAAAGGCCAAAGGAAAAAAAAGGAAAATGAAAAATGTTAGGAACCGTCACATAGGATCGTATAGCATAATGCGTCTGGAAAATTTTTTTCGTGTCTTAGTTATTTTTATGCTTTAGGTCGAAATATTGTCTCCAAATATTCTGTCAAAGTATTGCACCTCGTTTGCCACTTTTTTGTTTATACCACATGTTGACGTCTACCGATATCAATTACTGAACAGACCCATGACAACATGGAATCTATTTGTTTACATGATAAAAAAGCAAAATGTCATTAGTGATGTCGTCATCGATGCCTATGTCTTTCAGTCGATCAGTATTAAGAACCTATGAAAATGCGTGTTTATTTCAGCCTTTTAAAAGTAACTTGGCGCCCATATTGCTGACAAGGAGCCGAAATGACCATGGGCTCGAATGAGGGAATATAAGAAACTCAGTTGGAAGACTTCGAACGAGAATGGCGCTTTCACTTGGAATGATTACTTTAGGTCGTATAATCCTTTTTCTCGTTCTGGTTACACAGTTTGGTTTCCTTTGTTGTGATGAATCATCTATTCTTTTCAATTGGATTCCATTAGGACCCTTTTTGAACATATTGATCCAAATTCCGAAAATGACGTGGATCTTTTCATGGTTTTTACCCGCTGAGACCCCTGGGAAACGACCTTATTACTCTTACTCTTGGCTTGGGTATACTTGTCTGTTGATAGATGACATTGTCGTAGCATTTATAGTCACCGTGGTCAAAGATCCTAGGAAAGATAGACTACTTGGACCAACAACTTCAAGCAGAGTTCTTTGTATTACACCAATTGTTTTGCTGCTCTTTTTAAACACTGCTGGCGAAGGAGGCGCAGAATTTCACGGGGAATCTGGATGGTTATCCGCCACAATGACTGTGCAAATATTCGACGCTATCGACATGATGGATAATGTTTGGAACAGAGATAAAAATGGGATACCCAAAGAACTTGGAGTGGGAATGACCACTCTTGCTTCTCAATTTCTGTTGCTTGCATCGTGCGAGTTTCTAGAACTAACGCATTACTCGCCCGGAAGTGAAAACAGAGTGAAGGTTTATGGACTAATCTGGACGACTCTCCTTAACGCCGTATGCATTGGTCAGACTCTTCCATAAACATGTCTGGATGAAGTAAAACTGGGCCTGCTCTGAGCCTTAAATCAAATAGATTTGTTTCGTTATTCGCTCCGACTAAGCACCAACGTCAGCTTTAATAACTTCTTACGGTGGCCAAGTTGCATTATTAACTCAGGATAAATTAAATTATCTCCTCCACCGACGCAGCACCATAGTTCCTTTAGAAACTTTCCTCTCCTCTTGGTTTTAACGCAAAGTCATCAAAATTAAAAAATGAGGAATTATCAATCCTTTTGAGATTTTAGTTTAGCCAGTTTAGGAGGGTTTTTGTTTTGTGATAAAGCAAGGTTGAATTTCTACGCCCTTGTGTGACACGACATTAAAATAGTTGCCAAGAATGCTGTCACGAAGGTTAAAAAGTGACTTATCCGCTGAGATTTCGCAATCTGAACCGTCCTTATATGAGCATAAGTACTCATTTAGATGTTCAGAAGACGACTACAGGCTTTTTTATAACAATACTCGATGACACATGTTTTTATTAGCTTCCGGCCGCCATGTCATCAGTGGCACTGTAGTTAGGCAGCCATACTATGCATCAAGGGGAGAAACTAAGTTTACTGACTGCGGGAAAGACAGGTTAAATAAACTTTTTTTAATAGCACGATTTCAAAGAGCGAATATGATTAGAAAAAAAAAGTGCAAAATTTAAGCTAGAAGTTGAAATTTTTTGTACAGACAAGCGAGTACTATGCGAGGATCGAATACCACACGATTACCACGCGAGCCTTTTGTGAGTTTATGCTTGTTTTTTAACTAGTTACCCCATGTATTAGTTGAGGAAAACATATAAGTATACAAGGTGAGATAAAAGAATATGTAAGAGAAGGACTGAACGGTATTTCTAACATAGAGTATGTAACGACCACGAGGTTTTACGATGTGTTTCTGTCGTCGAATGCTAAAGCGACCCTCTACGTGTAGAGTTCAGTTTCGTGGATTAAAGTGTTGAGAATAGTCAATTGTCAGCTGAGAGATATTTTCTTACAAATACAACAGCCAACGACATTCACACAAAAAGGGAGCAAAAATGCAAAGTGATACTAATTGTCGTAGCACTTTATTGTAAAACATATCTGGAATTATTTTTTTTCATTTGTCTGTAGGCTTAAGTTAGTCGAAATATCGTGTTTAGATATTCTGTCTAAGAGCAGAGGGAAGCTGAAGATACTATCAAAACACGTTTCCATCAAAAACTGTAAGGAGTGCATTGTATTCGTGCTCATCCAAAAAGCTTTTACTTTATTCTGTAATTTGTTTTCCAGTCGAAATATAGTGCCGTTGGCCATTGTTGCCGGTTTTTTTTTTTATTTTTCGCCCACAATTCTATTGAACAACGTCGGGAGTGGAACGAAGAAAAAAGTCTTTGAGCGGGGCAATCTCGAACTCAGAGTCCAAGTCGTCGGCTCCCTCTGAAAAGCCGAAAAGGCTCTGGGGTTGGAAACGAGGCTGATAAATTAATATTTTCTACAGAGTAATTTACTGATGAGTCATTTCTAAGGATGGGCCGATACGGCTTTTTCGAATCGAAGCTCAATGGATAGAGCGCTGTTGTGCGGAAGGTCGAGGGTTCGAGCCCTCCCCAAAGCTCAGGGTCTTAAAATAATTGAGAAGAATTTGCTACCTTTCTATAACATCAAGAAATGGTTAGATATTCTAGTCTTCTCGAATAGGGACGAATAAATGGAGGTCCCGTCTCCTGCAGGGTTGNGACGTCTGTTCTCAACCTTAAAGTGCACCCGTAATTCAGCCTTGGGCTGTAAGTGGTCAGAAATACTATATTAATATTACTATTATTAATATTAATGAAAGGTTACCAGTCACTGCACGAGTCACTAATAATTACCAAACACGGGTGCACGACTTATTATAAATCCTGCGCTTCATTACTTGATACACCAAAGACTCCCTGGCATACAGAATAATACAGAGGTGCCATACTTCAGAGCCATTCGACGAGTCAACACAGGAACTTGATACATACTAATAGTTACGCGACCTCAAGCAAAAATCAACATTGTTAAAAAACAGTATATCGGGTTACTAAGGTCAACTTTACTTTTAGTCAGCCAAGTTAGCTAAAAAAGAGCATAGATAGCAGCAGGTAAAGAAAAATCTCAGATATTTTTGTTTGAAAGCAAGAACATGCTCACATTCTTTGGCTTCAGCCGATTACGCCTCGTGGAGACTAGCTCCCCTGCTTTAGAGAAAACCCTTTCGGCAAGAACAGATGTACCCGGGATGCAAAGATACTTCTTTGCAATTTCTGCGACAAGCTCATAGTATCGCTTATTCTCCTTCCACCACAGTAAGGGATCTTGGAGTTATGCCAGCACTGGTTCTTCAAAATACTTCCTGGCTTTCCAGTGTTAGAGGTTTTCATGGATTAAGGGACTCTTTCATTGCTCTAATTAAACTGACCTTCCTTCATAGTAGATGATAGTAGACGGTAGCAGTACCATACAACACTCGCGATCAGTTAATTTTCCTTCACTTATGAAAGTAGATTTACAGCACGATTGAGTACATATAGTAAATGTCCTTGCAGTAGATTGTGAGTGTAACTGTTGCCATTTCAAACCGGCAGTCTAAATTCCACAGGTATCAACGAACGCTTTTCATTCCACTAATTTATTCGTGTTTTTCTCGTTGCCATGTTCCCACCAATAACGTAGCTCCATTTTCTGCCTTTAAAAGTACAACACAACCCACAATTCCTTTGATGTTGCCATTTGTGTCGAGTTTCTTAGGCAGATTGCAGTTTCGAATCTTCAAGTTAGAAGACACTTATTTGCGTACACTCGGGCTCTCTGTCAACAAAAAACCTTTGCTTTTTGTGCCTGCCTGAGCCTTAAATCAAATAGATTTGTTTCGTTATTCGCTCCGACTAAGAACCAACGTCAGCTTTAATAACTTCTTACGGTGGCCAAGTTGCATTATTAACTCAGGATAAATTAAATTATCTCCTCCACCGACGCAGCACCATAGTTCCTTTAGAAACTTTCCTCTCCTCTTGGTTTTAACGCAAAGTCATCAAAATTAAAAAATGAGGAATTATCAATCCTTTTGAGATTTTAGTTTAGCCAGTTTAGGAGGGTTTTTGTTTTGTGATAAAGCAAGGTTGAATTTCTACGCCCTTGTGTGACACGACATTAAAATAGTTGCCAAGAATGCTGTCACGAAGGTTAAAAAGTGACTTATCCGCTGAGATTTCGCAATCTGAACCGTCCTTATATGAGCATAAGTACTCATTTAGATGTTCAGAAGACGACTACAGGCTTTTTTATAACACCACTTAGAGCACTGAGTTACATTATCTTGGCAATAGCTGTTCANACCTTACACTGCGCCCGTAATTCAGCCTCTGGGCTGCAAGTGGTCAGATATAAACTATATTCGCATTCTCCAATACAATCCACGTATAATCACGCTATCTCGCTGTCACCAAAGAAGTTTACTCAAATGCGTCAAGATGCAAATGACTCACTTTTTGTTTTCGACCATGATGCAACGCAATCAGAGGCTTAGTATCGGTAATCTTCGATCTGATTATTTGGTATCGGTATCGGCATATCCTTCGTCGTTTCCTGGCCGGATACTCAAGATGAAGTGTTGGAAAATTTCAGGCTGCTTTGTGTTGTTGCTCCTCTTTTTCACTCAGTTAGGTTTTCTATTTGGGTATGTGTTCGATTATTGGGAAAAAGTTCCGCAGGAAAGGTGGGAAGGTTATTCGTCTTGGGTACATAGTTCGCTGACGATTGGAGCGGGTCTTTGGTTTCTTATCATCTGTATTGTGAGCTTCATTCTAGGAATTTTGTTTTTTTTTTGTGGATGTATTTCGGAAGGAAAACTTCGTCACTACTCTTTCGTTTGGCTTGTGTATACTGTTCTGTTTATAGTGGATTTTTCCTTGGTATTTGCACTGGTCGAAGATAAAGATATGCTAAGTAAAGAACGATTCCTCGGACCGAAGATATTAGAAACTGTCCTGTGTATCACACCATTCCTTCTTCTGCTATTGTTGAACTCGGCTGACGACGACGACATCAAACACCACGGAGACTTCAAATGGCTGTGTGGCACGATGACGGTACAACTATTCGATGCAATCGATATGATCGACATCGTACTCAGCGAAAAAGGAAAAGGCAGTGAGATACCTAAGGTATATGGAATATTGATGATTGGGATAGCTTGCGCAAGCCTGCTTCTTTCCGCATGGCAGCTAATACAGTCAGTAAATAGGAAGTCCACCGGTGCCTTTGGGATTGGAGAGAACATTCGATTATTCTTGATGATAATGATAAACGTAGCGTCACTGACTCTTCGAGTAATTGTGTTGGTTAAGTATGGGACGAATGAAACGATTTTCATCGCTAAGAATGTTATCTCGATTTTTACATTAATGAGGGAAATGTGCTGTTCCACTGGTCATAGCTATCAAGTCTTACGAATGTGACCTGTTGAAACTCAATTGGGGCCTAAAGTAGCTCTCCCAAACCAAAGCGACGAGGAGGAATACTTTGATTCTTAATGAGAGATGTGTTTTGCTGACTCATCATCAGCGCACAAACAACTTTTTAGGTTTCGTAATGATTGTTATGCAAGGAATTTCCTTTGGTAATTTTAAATAAGAACATGTATGCGACTCCTAGCCAGTTAGAACACTCTGCCTCAAGTGGTTGTGAATTAATATAGAGGTTAATTGTTTTTTTCTGTTATGTAATGGCATGCTTTTGTGTAGTTTTTTTTACATAGTTTAAGAACATTTCAGGAAACCTAAGCTTTTTTTTTATTATCTGCCATTTCTAACAAATTACAACAAAAAACAAAAATATATATTTTTTAGTGCTGTTTGATCAGAATATTGAAAAGTAGCGATATCTTGAATGATATCTAAATGAGTTATCATAGAAAGTTTATACTTATGTTGTAGTGGAACTTATTCAAAACTTTCACATCTATTTTCTTCAAATAAAATTTGATTCTATTTGTGCTATTTAGATTTAGTAGCGTGGGGATAAGTTATAATTAATGGAAAGTTGGTATTTAAATTAGTTATAATTAAATACCTAGAAGTGTATATTAAATTGTAAAAGGAAAATAAAGTATATCATATGTAGTCTGTGCCACAAGTCCACTTTTTTTATTTTAATAAAATTTATGATTTTAGATAACTTCACTCACAATGACTTGACTAGATCCTTTACAGCATAGTTCCTCTACTAACTATGTTTACAGAGACTTCTTGACCTTGAATGCAGCATAGAAACTGTTAACAAATCTCAACCACCCTGGAGTGGATCCAGGATTTAGTCAAGGAGGGTTTGGAGAATTGTCCGAGGGCATGCTCCCCCGGGATATTTTGAAAATTAGGTCTTTGGAAACATTTCCAGTATTTTGAGGGAAAATTTAGGGGGTTTGACTGACCCACCCCTGGATCCGCCTCAGCCACCTATAGCTCACTTAACAGGGATTAATGGCAATGACTGAGGGTTTTGCAAGTTAAAGCCACTTTTCTTCCTAGTATAACTTGCCTTTTCCAATTTTTTGCATCTTCAGCCTGCTTTGCAAGCTCTAGTCTAGAAATAGGAAGGTAATTAAAATGGATTCCCAGTTGAACCTCTGTAACATTTTTTGATCAATCAATAATAATAATAATAATATAATAAAATATTTATATAGCGCCTATCCTTTTCAATGCTAAGCGCTTTAAAATAAGCTACAGTGACAGCAGCATTTAGCAAAACTGTTGTGTTTTTGGTGTTGATTTCTTGAATTTTGTTTGTGTTGAATATTTGTTACATGTATTACTAAGACAACTCGTAATGCAAGATTTGTGACCCATTGAAGAAGATTCATTTCCTTGACCATGCCATGTTTTAAATGAGTCTCCCCTCTCTCTTTCATGAGCCCTATAGCAGTGCTAAAGCCTGATTTTCACTCATAACAAGCACAAAAGCTAACTTTGGACTAGATTGGAAACAAGACTTCATTCTTTATCTTCTTTACACAATAAACCCCAAAAAAGTATTATTATTATTATTATTATCATTTAGTTCTCATTAACCGAGCAGGAGGTCTGTATGGGAGAATCTTGACCAAGGTCAACATTGTCCCATACAGACTGACCTAGCTCAGTTAATAAGATGTTTATTATATGGCTGTGTCTTATATGCCAATCTTTTATTTTCTTTGTACCTTTTTTTCAAGAGCAGTCTAGGTGCCAGTCTAGATGGGAAATTCTAGACCACTTTCAATATTGATTTCTGCCAATCAAATTCATGAATTCGGTAGTTCCCAGTCCTTGTGAGACACAGCCATATAATGATATTATTGATTTTTACCACCTTGACACTCCCCTTCAACAAGCTTTGGGTTTCCTGAGAAAAAGAGGAGGTTGGGAGGGAGAGATAGTTATTCAGCAAGTTGATAGAGAGAAAATGCAAATCCTATTTCCTGTACAAACCTTACATTTGGGATTTCAATTCACAAGTTACTCAATCCCAGCATAATCTCTTATATGAGAAAGTTTATTTTCCTGATTTCTATTGACTCAGAATGGGATACAGACTTCAAACAGTCCCTGATATTCAACAAAGTATAATAATGTGAGTAAAAATAAATCAGTGAAAAAAAAATTCTGTCAGCACACTACATGGAACTCCTCACTCCAAGTGTTCCATGTGACATGCTAACATCAATTTTTTTTCTAGTTGTTTTTGTACTTGTGAGATGGACTGCACCAAATAGGGGGGACAACTTGTTGTCTAATGGAGTGTTGCTGTAAAGATGCAGTCCATAGTTTTGATTTCAATGTTTTTCATGTTTTTTAGTTCTGTGTACTTAAACTCAATCAATGGTAAACCAAAGTCAAAGTATGCTCCTTATTGAAAGTTTTGTTGACAAGCTTGTGTATTGACACATATTGAATGCTAACTGGAAACATCTGTCATTTGACCTGTTCAAGCAGCTTTTCAGGCATGACTTTTACTCTAACACAAGCATACAAAGAAGATAGGTTCACAAAATGCATTCAAAGCATGTCCCTTTTATAACATAGCTGGTAAATTCTTGTGATCAAATTTAATTTCACGAGTGTGCTTCATGTTCCCACAGTGCAACCTGATGTCATGCGTGCATACCTACTGAATCATAGCTGGGATAATTTAAATCACGACAACTGGTTTATACTATTAGTGTTGCTTTCATCAAGATATGAATCACTTCAGAAGTTTGGTGAGCACTCTAAAGGCTTAAATTGAGCAACTCTTGTGGATCTTTTGTGCACTCCAAACTTCCTATATGCTACCTACCTTGAGGAATACACACTTTCTGCATAAACCTATTGTTTAGTATTAGTATTCAACCACACAAAATGCGCTATTAATCAATACATAATATGTTCAAGTAGGCACACTTACACCTAGACTGCATGCTTGTGTCTTTAAATGAAAACCAACCTTAGATCCCATTGATGAAGGCACTAGACAGGAGTGGTGAAATGTTGGGTCTATGAATTGTAATTCCCCAGTTACACTCATTAAATCCTTAAACCAGAGTGGCACCAAATCAATTGCTCTGACGAAGGGCTAATGCTCGAAACGTCAGCTTTTTAACTCTTTACAGTGGCCAATATACAATTTCAACTTAGTTGATATTACTATAGCACCAAACCACATCGGATGTCCACCTGGTTGCTTTGTGAACTTTAATATACCAACCTTAAAATTTCTAAGAAAATCAAAACAACACCGAGACATAATTCATCCAGCATTTAATTGGGCATATTTGAAGGCAAAGAATTTACAAAAAAAGGAAACCACCACTTCACTTCTTCTTCTTGGGTGGCAACAGTATACCATCATACTGAAACAACAACAACAAAAAAATAAATAATGTTAGGGTTTATGATCTAAGCTGAAGTAGGGGGTAGAGGGTGGGGAGTGTGCAATTGATCTTGCAATTTGTCCAAGGGAAGGGTGGTCCTGAAAAGAGCCAACATTCATGACAGTGACTCAAGTTTTGACAGTCTGAACTTAAACGATCCATATCTCATTAGAGTAAAGTTAAGGTGTTTATCTGTCAAATTTTATATGTCGGGATTGTGAAAAGCAATTAGTTAGTTTTGTTGCAAGGTCATTTACCACAAGAGCCATTTCATGATTAGCATTTTCAACCTGGCAGAAATATATTTTGTTTAGGCAATACACCGAATCAAAATATGGCATCCAATTTGAATTGCCATTGTTGTGGACTTACTAGCTTCTCACACATGTGATAATCCTTTTGTGTTTCCACGTGAAGACGAGGCTAGTAAGTCCAAAACAATGGGAATTCAAATTGAACACCATATTTCAATTTGGTGAATTCTTTGACTACTTCAATGTTGTGAACAAGTCATTTGCAGGGTGCTGCTAGCTCGGAACAATTGTTGATATACATCTGTTCAAAGTACGTAAACCAGCTCGAGGAAGACAGTTGTTAACCCTTTCACTTCTGAGATATCAATTATAGTAAATAAATTCTCCTTACAGTCTGCCATACAAATCTTATGGCATTAGTTCAGAGATTTTGGTATTGGATCAACTAACTATCACCTAGTTTTTGTTTTTCTTTATTCTAAGTACTTGACTGCTCGATATTGTCCCAGCCGGACCAATACTCATGGTCTTAAAATAAGTAAGGAGAATTTGCTACCTTTCTATATACAAGAAATGGATAGATATTCTAGTCTTCTCGGATAAGGATGAATAAACCGTACGCCCCATCTCCTGCAGGGTTAGGGGTAGGACACATTGATTTCCCACGCACGAGATTACTGTGTGGTGGATGCCCTCCCTTGGGTGGGATGGGTGGGTATTGGCCCTGAAAAGCCCCTATGGGGAGTAGTCAATTAACCTATGCATGTATGTATTAATACATAAGGAGAAATTCTGTCTTGGTCACTCATAGGAGTGAAGGGGAAGTAGTTGGTGCTGTGATCTCAAGATCACCAGAGGCAAAGCTGCATGAGCATTCTCAATCTGTTTCTGAAATTTCTGCAAGTGATTGTAAACCCTTTAACTCCCACGAGCAATTGACAAGTACCATAGTTTCTCAGTTATAAGACGCACTCAGTTATAAGACGCACCCCAAACTTAACAACTCAATCAAGCCAAGTTCTCAAACTGAAAATTACATGAAAATACTTGGTTATAAGATGCACCAAAACGTGCCGTGGATCTGAGAAAGTTTCATGGTTGCTCTGGCGGTGAAAGCAAATGGTGAAAAACTCCCACCAAGAGTCATTATTCAAAGGTGTTCAACAGCTGAATATCAACATGCCACCAAGGATGCAAATTTCAGTGCACAGAAAAGGCTGGATGGACAAAGAAGGTAAGTCTTATCTCCACATTGTCTATTCAGAGACAGAACTTTTCAAGCAAGCGACACAAACACCATTCTAGGAATTTGAAATGTGGTTTGAATGATTGTTTTGTTGTCATGGATATCATGTTACCGAGCACTTGCTGTTAAGAATGTATGCAAATTTTTGTTTGTTTACTTTTCTATGGAGGTTGATTAGTGTTCTAAAAGCAGTATTCCTTCTTAATTAATAGGAATAAAGGATTGGGTTCTATGCAATCTTCGCTACACCTCAGACCAAAAAGCTCTGCTCGTGTGGGATTTGTTTCATGGAGATTTGACGAAGGCCCCATAAGAAACGGTTCTTTCAGAACCACCACAACAGCTCTTTTCAGAGCCACCCCGGTTCTTTTCAGAACCACCAGATCTAAAAAAGTCAATGAACAACAATTAGTGCTCTTTTCATGTCTTTGTACCTGTAAGTTCTGCTAAAATATTGTGATCTCAAGATTTAGTTGCGCAAAAATACTTGACCATAAGATGCACCCAATTTCAGCACTAACTTTTCACCCGCAGACAGAATTTTCTTGAAAAAAACCGTGCGCCTTATAACCGAATAACTACGGTAACTTCTCCCTATAATATCCATACATTATTTCCAACAAGCGCTCGTGGAATAACTGTTTTATTAAAAACGCCCCCAAGAAATTATTATTTTGTAAGAAACCGGATTTTTTAGCTTCCTTTTGATTTTAAGCTGACGCGTAAGTTACCATATTTGTAGATTATGGTATATTGGCTCATATACCATAATGGCTAAGCCAATAAAAAGTCTTGAATTGCATTATCCATTGATCCAGTTTTTAATAATAACTGTTATTACCATTGTTGTTATTATCATCATAATTATTATTTTGTCTCAAAAATTGTTAATGGTACACTTAATATGCATATGGTCAGGTTTTACCTTCTGTTGAAACCACTTCATGGATTCATCCTTAGATATCAGATGCTTGTATCCCACACGGGATTGCTTCCTTTTTCGCTCAGCAACATTGAAACCAGGACGTCCCAACACTACATAGAAATCCATGCCATAAATCCCAATGCTTGGGTCATATTTAATTCCAAGATCAATATGTTCTTGGATTCCAAAACCAAAGTTTCCAGTTTTAGAGAAGTTATCCTTCGAAAGCTCATACTCACGAACCTATCGAAACAAAAACAAAAACCAGTGAATCTGAGTCTAGTAATGTATAAATCTGTACAAGAGCTTTTACTGCTCTCTGAGAATACAGGATATGATCACAGATCAAAGAAGTTCTAAATTTGTTGATTCTAGGATGCGTGTCATATATGAACTTTGTAATGGGCCTTGCTCACTATAGAGTCTCTGTGGCACAGTGGTAGAGCATCGGAGTACAGAATCCGAAGGTCTGAGGTTCGATTCCTCATGGGGACTTGGAACTTTTTTCTTTGTCTCATGCTCCTGACTAGATGAAAAACATCTTTCTATATGTCTTCACCAAGCTCAAAACTTACCATCTTTCTTATTGTTTACAAAATTGTCAAACAAATTCTCCTTGTCAGCACCAGCAGTAATGTTAAGAAAACAGTGTGGAGAATATGAAAACCAATGTAAAAGATAAATTAAGGTAACCCTCCACAATTTTGTCAGATTTCCTTGACAGTTTTCTATTACTTATTCAATCCTTTAACCTCTAAGAGTGACCAGCATCTAATTTCTCCTTACAATATCACCCTTGAATCACACATTAAGGTCACGAGAATAAAGGAAATGATCACCAACTAAAGAGACTTTTGATTGCTAAACAAATTCTCCTTGTCAGCACCTTAAGAAACAAATGGAGAACAGTATGGAGAATATGCATACTGATGTTAGGGTGTAAAGGATTAATCCCCTGGGTGGAGAGAGGCATTGTAGGAGCAAAGTTTAATGTCCATGAACACTTCACAAAGACCCAGCCAAATGATTTCTTTAAGCATTCATTTATGACACTAAAAGAGAAGTAAGCCCATATTTACCTTCAAACCCTTCTCTAGGATTTCTTCAGCTTTGGCGCCTCGCACAGTGCAGTGTACAGCAATCTTCTCGTTACGACGAATGCCAAATGAACGCACAGTGTAGCGGGCTACGAAAAGAATTAGGCTTCTTAAAATATCTCACAGGGAAACTGTATGACATGGAAACAACTATTATGAAAAACTGACAATTGATGAACTCTATTTGCAATCCCTTTCTGCCAACAAAAGTGTAGTAAACATTGAAGGTTGACGAAGAGTGCATTTCAAACCCATTCAATTTGTATTTCGATAGACTGTTGTAAAAACAAAACCAGAGCAATAACAGCAGCCAATAAGAACAAAAATAAATATTACAAAGAACCATGTGGAACACACACAAACAGCCTCAAAAAGGGGAAAGTTTGATTTGGCTAAGTATCAGTTGCTTCAGGTTTTGCATCTAACTGGCTAAGGAAGAGTGAGAGGCATTCTTAAACTTTACCTCCCATGAGTGACCAAGACAGAATTTCTCCTTACAATATCAATACAACATCAAACAGAAAAAAAGGTAAGAATAAAAAAAAAATATGGCAGGGGAGGAGAGGGACTAATCCAATACCAAATTCTCAGGACTAAAATCATAAGAATTGTATAGCAGACAGTAGAGAGAATTACTAAAGAGATCTTGGGAGACTGAAGCAAAGAAGAGTGAGGAGAGTGAGGAAGAAAAGCAGAGTAAAACAAAGGAGAGTGAAGCAAGGCAAAGAAGCCAACAAATAGAACGCTTTCCCAGAGGTTTCATCAACATTTTCAGCAGGAGGGATACTGGTTTTCACAGGTGGGTAAAACTTTGTGAATTGAACTTCTTTAAAAGATTAACTTTCCTCCAGATCATCAAACCAGGTGGGCAAAACCATCCTCACAACTGGTCAATTTGCCTGGTGCCCAGGCCCTTAAACACAAAGGTGCGCTATATAAGGAAGTCTTCCCTGGGAAGACCAAGGCTCATTTGTCATTCACCGTTGACGTGTGTGGGTCAAATTTAAATACTGGTAGACGAAGAAAAGGAGCTAATGAGATATCTATTGTTTACTTCCACCAGCATGGTGGCATGAGGTAACGTGCGAACCACCTACTTCAATCTCAAATTTACTGCCACAAATAAAGACAGTTTCCATTGGAGAAAGGAAATGCAAATCTCAAAAATTCTTGTATTGTGATGAAGACATAAAACAATTTCGAGGAATGTGCCCGCTGTACACTGCTTTGGAGTAGCTGTAGCTCAAGCTGACTTGACTCTAAGAGTTCTACATCACATGACGGTTGATTGACAAATGGTCCGGTGGGACCTTAGGCTCCTTTTATAGCGTGCCTTCGTGTCTAATGAAACCCCTGCATTTCGATTGAATGTGATGAAACAAAACCCAAAGTATTCAAAACAGCCAATCATAGGAAGGAAAAATATCATATGCAGCCAATCAGAACTCAAAGCAAAAACAAGCAAACTATTTGAAGTACAGAAAAATGTAAGTGACCATGTTGCAATTAGTTTTAGTTTCAAATCTGATTGGTTGGGATAGTGACAAAAGTTTTCGGGACCAATCACATGACAAAGTAAAGGAAACACAAAGCTATCCTGGATCACATTCCATACTCAATTGAAAACTGATCTAAACAATAATACAATCCCACTTTATGTATGACATTACACTGAACATTACAACATTACAATGTGAACAATAAATTACCTTTGGAATAAACTGGCTGCTGCCCAGTCAACTGTTCAAGAACCTTTGCGGCTCTTGTTAGACGATCACCACTTTCACCAACACAGATGTTTAAGCACAGCTTTCGGATACGGAGGTCCCGCATGACATTTTGCTTCTGGGAATTTTCCCCCGACTGAGAAACAATGAGATGATAATGTTAACTACTGCGAATTTTTGCTGTAATGGTTTTGGTGCTTTTGTAGAATCTTTATGCAAGAAAGGGTGGAGAACTTAGCCTAGAAAAGTTTTAACTTTGCATCTTGATTTCCTTCACTGAGGCTATTTATAATGATCAGATATATAATAAATGTCATCACATTCATGACCTGCTTTAAAAAAATTACCAATTGTATTCTGTGTTGATCTCTTTAACTAACTCTTTATCTCCCAAGATCTTATTCTTAATTCTCCCCTCAAAGTGCTACTCATTTCCTTGTAGATTAGTTGCAAGAATTTGATGTCAGATAAAGGTACCTTCTACCTGATAAGTTTGAGTATTCTCATTACCTGTTTTCTGGATGGTGTGTAGATATTATTGGGAGAAGTTACACGTTCATTATGTTAATCTGAACTAATAATTCTCTTAATCACTCGGAGAAATTAAGCATAACATTTAACTATCTGCAATCAAAGTCATTAATTAATCTTTGTTCTTCATTCAATTTGGACTTGTACAAACCAAAAAACCAAATCTGGATTTGCTTGAAAAATACCTCGTTTGATCTACGTAAGATCGCACGCTGCAAAGGACAAAAGATTTGAAATGAAAAAGGCGGCAGAACTGCTTGCCTATGTCTAAACTCCAATTTCGGTGGGCCAGTTCCGATTCGCTAGTTACAGCTCGAACAATTTTCTTCTTTTCGAAGGAATCAAGGGAAAAAGGCGACTAAAGTTAACTTCTGTGTATTTTCAAAAGTGTTTTGTGGAAAATCAGTGACCTGTAAATTGGAAAAAATGTTTTAAATAGCACCACAATCCTGTCTATAAACACCGACAGGCTTGGCTCAAGAGGGATAATTCAACAGTTTTAATCACTACCGATTTATCACGAAGATCGCGATAAAGCTACTTGAAAATGCTTTAAGCCATGTCTGGAAGGTTAAAAGAAGCCCTAGATAAAAGAAATATAACAGAAATGGGTCGAGAAAACTAAAATTAAAGGGGTGAAATATACTTTTATTTGGCCACGTGAATCTTGGAACCTACCGCCATATTGCCCACAATAAAAGAGGGCGCTTGAGGCATCACGGGAAATGACGTAAACGCCAAGTAACGCCTGGCGATAATTGACTTCGCGCTTCTCTTCCGAGACTTTCTCAAAGTCGTTCGCTCGACTTGTGAGGAAATCTATTCTCTACCCCTTGTTTGAAAGATATTGCATTTGAAGAAACAAACGACAAACAGAAAAACAGAACTGGCTCACTTAGAGACAGCAAAAGATTCTTTTTTTTTATAAAGTGGTGCCAAAAGTAAGGCTATTTAAATGTAATGTTTCGTAGAAGAAAGTTTTAGGGCATTTCTTTTTACGAGCATTTCTGGCCGCTTCAATCTATCGGCAAAAATTCAAAAATCTTACTCCGGTTCAAGAATTCCTCTCTTGTAAGCTCTATGGCTACTGAGAAAAGTTATTCACTCTTAAGAGTGCTTCAATGAAAAGCCCTGATAATTTATAACGTAACATTGGAATCGAATTCGTCATATTTAAGTCGAAAAATTGTTTCTTGTTAACCGACTCGCTTCGAATTTTTTTTTTTGTTGTTGGCTGATGCGCCTTTCCGAATGTAAGCCCACCAAAAACCGAAAAATTCTTACGAAACACGTTTGACAATCCCACGGTTTATTCCTAGCTAACCTTCGATTTTTAGCTCTCAGTCGGCCAGGACAAATGCGAATGCCGGCTTGGTCGTTTCTTAAGTTTCCCCCCTCTTCGATCTGCTTCATAGACGAGGCTAATACACTACAAGTGAGTTTTATTCCAGTACGAAGGTTAACATAACTGTCTCCCAGTACTTTATTTTAATTCTCATAATCCATCTGTACATTGTAAATAAATGTAACTCAATCTAATCGGCACCTTATGCCTGAGAACATGGACAATTCTGGAGGAGAGAACTTATTCAACTACAGAGACTTCAAGTGTCCCAGTGTTAAAACTTGAATGAAGTAGAATGTAGTTTTTCACAGAAATAAGTGACAAATTCGTATTTCCTTGTTCATATAGAGGGCAATTCAATTGAGTGTCGCAAAACAAAAACAAAGTTATTACAACGGCTGATCAGAGCGATAACAGTTTAATCCTTTCACTACTTTAGTCACCAAAGAGAAATTTCTTTTCAAGTATCGATACATTTTCATCAGAAGGATGATGAGAAGAAAAAACAAATATCAGTCTAGGGTTGTTGCTTGATTTGACACCGAATTCTCTTAGCGAAAATTGTGTGAACTGTATCGCAAACAGTGCTGAGAATTTGATTTTCGATCTCGGGAGTGAAAAGGTTAAATTCATTAATACAAAGCTCTAGGTTGCTGTGGTTGGTTAAAACGACTAGCTAGTGTGACGTATAATATGTTATTTGAAACGCAACATAACTTTTAAAAATAATTGTTGTCTCATTTGGGCTGGTTGACTATTGGCTATTTTCTTGATCCACTTGCATGGGAGGCCGCGCCTTGTTGAAACTGACGCATCATGGACTGGAGGCCTTGAGTTCCCCCTGAAAATGAGATCGAATGGTCAGCTGAGGCAACAAAAGGGAAAACGCCATAACTTTATTTACCATACAATTAAGGGATAGCGTGATCTTGGACCTAAAATGACAAACATCGAGTTCATAAAAATGCTTCTTTTTCTTTTGTGTTTTATTTCTTACAGAGCTACGATAACACAATGGTCAAAATCCACGGAACTCCCACAAGAGAGTTTTACTGCAAAAAAATGTCTTAGTACATAGACAATTTCCAAGAATTTCTCGTTGACCTCACTAAACACTCACCCATTTGTTGAAGTACCCTGGGATCCATCATCTTAGCCATCTGTTGATTGAGTTTGGCCATCTGCGACGGATTCACATTCTTGCTCATGTCACCTCCTGAAATGCAAAAAACACAGGATGGGGGGGGGGGAGGATAAGGTGACGTTAGTTTCTGTTACAAGAAAGCCACTTCCGCTTTGGCTTAACTTGAGTATGCACCCTTATAAGTTCAAGAAAAATATGTAGCACGGTTTTCGATTAAGTTGACCCTTTTACTCCCAAGATACCCTTTATTATATTTCTTACCGTCTGCCACACAATTCTTATGATGTTAGTACAAAGAATTTGGTATTGAATCAACTAAAAATCCCCTGTTTGATATTTTTCTCTATTCTTGTTTCTTGTTTGTTTGATGTTGTATTAATGTTGTAAGGAGAAATTCTGTCTTGGTTACTCTCTGAAGTAAGACGGTTATCAAAGGAACCAATCAAAACAGAGGATATATCCCAAGGAGCCAATGAGAACTAAAAGGAAGTGAAATGAACTTTTTCAAGCGCGGGAAAACGCGCACATCACAAAATTGACGAGGCAAAGCAGTTTATTTTCGTAAAAAGGGTGAAGTTACCTTTAAATAAGCCCTTTATTCCTCCCATTTTCTTCACCATTGCAGCAAATTTGGTGTATTGTGACAAAAGCTCTTGCACCTCTCGGACAGACACGCCGCTTCCACGTGCTACCCGCGTGGAACGTCCCGGTTGGCGGGAAAACAGCTTTGCACCATTGGGACTATCTAGTTCTGAAACGAATAAAACTCGTCGTGTTTTTACACGTAAATTGGCAGATCGCATCGTATAACCCTACTTGATACTATCACACGTGCGTTTTGAAATTGATAGTAGCTTTTCTGTTTGTGGCCAAACCTAACCAGCGTGGTAATTTTTTTAATTTCTTGTTCAGCAGTAATTTTTCTTAGGTCTCTTTCACGGCCATTCTTCGGGATGTCACGTAAGAAGCGTTGCATGACACCCCTAACGAGACTACCCTTCCTCAGGCAAAATAAATACAGACCCATGCCCCTGGCAGAATAAGAAACGATCCCCAGGAGCTTAAACTTAGCCCTTAACCCCTAAAAGTGACTGGCATCTAATTTCTCCTTACAATATCACCCCTGAATCACACGTGAAGTCATAAGAATGATAAAAATGATCAACAACTACAGAAACTCTTGATTAATAAGCAAATTCTCCTTGTCAGCCTCTAAGGAAATATAAAGAGAACAGTATGGAGAAAATGTATACTGATATTAAGGTGCAGTACCTGACATCTTACCTTCATCATTCATGCTGTCCATAATTGTCATTAGCTTCTTTAATCTCGCCATTGACTCCTGTTCATTTCCTTTAGATAAGAAGTCAGTACTGAACCCGGGTATCATACCCTTAAAAAACAAACAAACAAACGAAAAATTAATAGAAGAATTTCAGTCATTGTACAAGTTAAATTCAGAAAAAGAGTCAGATTTAATTTGATCAGTTTTAACAACTAAAACAGCTTGGGTTCTGTCTCCTTTGTTCTACTGCCTCCCTGCTGTTGTTCAAACCCTCTCACTCCCAAGCTCTCCCAAGCTCTCATTGGCAATTCTCCTAGCCCTCTGCCATACAGTTTTTATGATGTTAGTTTGGAGAATTTTGTATTGGATCAACCTAAAATCCCTTATTGATATTAGTTTTTCTTTGTTCTCATCACCTGTCTGCTTGCTATTGTATTGAAATTGTTGGGAGAAATTCTGTCTTGGTCACTCGTGAGAGTATCGGAAAGCTACTCACCATGATTTGGCCAAATGGCCCCATCTTCATGATGTTCTGGAACTGTTCATACATATCTCGCAAACTAAAAACGCCTACATAAAAAAAAGACCAGATCATGTAATGTGCCACTAAAATCCATTACTCTGAATAGTGACTCATTTCCTTGAAAACCTGGAATATAGAAGAATACACTCCACTATCTGTTATATCTTTCACTCGCAAGATCTTTTTAGGAATTCTCCTAGCTGTCTGCCATACAATTCTTATCATGTAAGTTTGAACAGTTTGGTATCAATTGGATCAACTAAAAATCCCCTTGTTGATATTTTTCTTTATTCTCATTACTTGTCTGTTTGATATTGTATTGATATTGTAAGAAGAAATTCTGTCTTGGTCACTCTTGGAAGTGAAAGGGTTAATGACTTCTCACCATGTTTGAGTTTGTCAATAAGTTCTTCATTGTCCTCTAGTTTCAGTTCATTGACTTTATCAATCAGTCCTTCGATGTCTCCCATTCCTAAAGAAGACACAAGAAAGCAGAACTCAGTTTGCATTAGTCTACAGGGCTGAACACTAACTTTTCAACTTACTAGCCAAGTGGCTAGTGACATCTTAGATGTTTTTAGATGTTACGACAATTTCAGTCTGTTTATACTAGCCAAACTGGCCAGTGGAAATTGAAAACCACTAGCCAAAACTGAATTTCTACCAGTCTGTGGTTAGTGGGCTACCATTAGTGTCGAGCCATGGTCTACTTTTAAATACCCTCAGAGCTCACAGCTTGACACTAACAGTAGCCAACTAGCAACAGACTAGTAGAAATTCAGTTTTGACTGATGGTTTTCAATTTCCACTATACAGTTTGGCTAGTAAACAAACAAATTGTTGTAACATCTAAGATATCACTAGTTACTTGGCTAGTAAGTTGAAAATTTAGTGTTGAGCCCTGCCTGTTTGCTGGAAAATGTATGGATAATATAAGAAAATTTACAGGTTTATTAATTTTGGGAGAAAAAGGGTTAAGGTAAATGACAAAGTACTTGGTCTTTATAGAATTCCAACCCAATTATAAGGAGTTCCAACTGTCATTATAGAGAAGTCTGTAAATAAACCTACCCAACAGTTTACTAATAAATGGTCTGGTCTTGAAAGGTTCAAAATCATCAATGTGTTCTCCTGTACCAATGAAGATTATAGGACTCTTGGTGGCAGCCACTCTGTGAATACAAAAAACTGTAATTTATATCAAACAAAACTGGATGGGGAGTTCAGAAAAAACTGTGGGAATATGAATTTTGAGACAATTGATGGTGATTTTTATAAAGTAGTTGTGAGAACATAGGGTACTCCTGAACTAAATTGTTAGTAGTATTTTTTTTCAAATCACAATAACTGATGTTCAGACACACAGCCAGAATGACATTATTAGAGTCATGACAGAGTCACAGTCAGAAGTGTTTTTTTTGTAAGTGTATAGTTGAGGACAGATGAAAGTAGCAGTTGTGGAGAGGTGGTCATTGTAAAGAGGTGGCCCTTAGTGGAGGTTTGACTTTAGTTAATACTAGTGGTAATAAATCAAGCCAAGAAACAATCCTTACAGTTGGACTGCAGTCTTAACAATTGCCTCCCTGATATTATTTGGGTGCTGCTGCTAGTATCAGGTAGCCACCAGTTCGAATCTTGTCTAAGCCTGAATTTTTTCAGGGTTCTTTCCAACAATTGCTAAAGTTGGAATCCACCTGCCAAGATTATTTCAGTCTTTGCTTGATTTTCAACTAGTAAGTAAGTAAGGTAAGTAAGTAAGTAAGTAAGTCAACTTTATTTAAAGAAGGTGTACACATAACACCTTACACTGACAAACCAGTGGCCCTCAAAACTAGGGATTAGTAAGTAATACATGCAAATCTAGAATTAAAAATTGGAACTAGCCTAACAAAGTAACTATTAGAAACAGATATAAACAGAATATATAGAATAAAACATATAACACAATATGGCCTCAAAAGAATGAGCTTTAATTCTTTACAAGTTTTTGCTGATAACAAAGGGAAAGAGGTAGTTGCAGTTTGAAAAAATAACCTTTGACTCTTGAAGGGAAGGTAAACCCTCAATTGAAGCTAAAAGTTTCAATGAAGACAGACTATGACTAGTAATACTTACGCACTCAATGCCCCACCACCTTTAGCGTGACCGTCTAATTTGGTTACAATAACTGAAGCAACATCAACTTTCTCTTTGAATGCCTTTGCCTGAAAGAAGTAAATATTAAAAAAATTGAAGTGAACCACCTTTAAGGGCTGCAGCTGCAATAAATTATACGCTGAAAGAAATTCAGATGAACAAGGGTAAATTATAAACTGCAGGCTGATTTATCCTGTTTACCTGTGCCTCGCAAGCCTGTCCAATTGTGGCGTCCATTACAAATATTACATTGTCTGGGTCCTGTGTGCAAAAAGAATAAAAAAAATTAATTGGTCATAGAAATTAAACTGTCCAAAAAACAACAACAACAATGATTAGTTCTGAAGATGAGCACAGTGAAGTGAGCACTTACAACAGCATTAGAAACTTGAAGCATTTCCTCAAAAAGTGATTCTTCTTGTTTGTGTCTTCCACTGAACAAAAAAATTGTAAAATAAACTTAATAACCATCACTCATAATTGGCGAGTTCTTGGAGTAGCAGAAAGTGCAGCCTTGCATTTATGGATTCTTCTCTGCTTGCTCCCGTATTTCTGCCTCCAATTCACACTCTTAGCTGAATTTTGTTTATTATATTATACAGTTTTCTCTCCAATGAGAAATTATAAAAAACAAAGTTACTTCTTTTACCAAAGACAGATCATGTTAATTACACAAACTCACCTTGTGTCTACAATGATTATCTCAAAGTTTTCTTGTTTGAATTTGTCGACACCTTCTTGAGCTATTACAACAGGGTCCATTTCGGTGTAACTTAAAAAAAAAAAAAAACAACAACAACAAATGATAATATTATAATGGAATCAAGGTAAAATAATTTTTCCTCATAGACTGAAAATGTGTATTGGGAGCTACCTCCAATAAACTTAACGTGACTCGACTGTTCTTACCTCCCATAAAATGGTATTCTTGCTTTAGTAGCATTCTGTTTGAGTTGGTCAAAAGCACCTGGGAAAAGAAAATTAGACCCATTTACTTACTGGTAATATAAGAGGCCTTGGCGAACACAGAGCAACTGTACAGCCCCAGTTCTTCTTAACCCTTTAGCTCCCAGAAGTGATTAACATGTAACTTCTCCTTGCAATTCCAAGAAGTTATCTTGTAAGGGGGTTGTGAGAAAAGAAAAGCTAATCAGTAAGAGGGCGTTACTTTATAATAGGACCAAATTCTCCTGTCTAATTCACAAGGTATAGTATGGCAATGAGTCACAAGAATTACTAGATGGATCTTAAAGAGTTAAGAGGGGGTTAAGGACGTACTTCTAAATAAGATACTCTGTCATCCTTGATAAATGGGATTGTGCATATTTTCATTTAAGGCACTGTGCTGAATTTTGAGTTTCTTTGTTGCTGTTTGTCTTGCTTATCCCTTTTCACTCCCTGTGGAGCAGAGGTCCAAGGAAACCTCACACCATCTCCTGCTTCCTCTGGTTTCTGTAAGCAGTTTAATCCACTTAGTGGGTGATTAGCCCTCCAAGCTTCACCAGAGCCCTGTTGGCCAGGCGTTTCGGGGTTCTGAGCAGGCCTTCATGGCTACCAAAGCGGCCTGGGGGGAACAAGCCCCCCACCATACTTCGCCCTGCACAGCAATCCCCTACGTACCTGTTTCTGGCTACCACGACAAGGACGAGGGGTTGGACTTTGGTAGCCACTGTTTGTCTTACCTGCACGAAATGTGTCTGCACAGATTAAGCAAGTCTTCCATCCCTTGCGCTGATAATAGTATGCTAGCTGTAATAAAAGTAAAAACAGAATACAATGAACTTTACAGTGCAAATGAGAGCCAATTTAAAACTTGATGAATATATATGAATAATGAAAACCAACCTTGCTGCATGTTGTGGTCTTTCCACTCCCTTGCAGACCAACAAACATGATTACATTTTGCTTTCCCTTGCTTGGATTCCACTGTTTAACACCAGGGTCAACAAGCTGTTCACAGGCAGACATAACAATGTTTACCTTCTAACTATGGTTTATTTTCTAACTATGGTTTATTTTTCACTGACCTCTGCGATACTAGTATCGCAGAGGTCAGTGGTTCGAATCCCGTACAGGCCTGAATTTTTTTCAGGTCTGATTTTCACTATTGCTTAAATAGTGCTTTACTGCTAAGGATCGTGCACATATATGAAGCTTTGATTTTTAAAAACAAATTCTCCTTGTTAATACAAAAGGTAATGTATGTAGAAATGTGTGGAAGAATGTGGATGCTGATGTTAGACTGTAAAGGGTTAACTTGCAACTACCGGTAACAGTTTTTGGCAAGCCTTGTCTTCTAAAAAAATCAAACAAGCAAACACAACAAAAAGCAACAAACTTTTCTACGAAGAAAGAAAAAGTACACAAAGATGAATTGTTACTGACCTTGCACAGTTCCTGGAACACAGCATGTTGAATCATCCTTCTTTTATTTAAACCACCAGCCATGTCGTCAAAATCAATGGCAGATCTGAATGAGGAACACAGGTTAGAGATATAATTTACATTTACTGGTACAATATTATAATTGTAGTTAACACTTTTTGAATAGTAATCAAAAATTATAACAAAATTCTCAAACATGAGTGGTTATTACCAGCCTGATTTGAGCACTAATTGCTTGTAATTGGACAGTGTATGTGTCATGTTTATGCAATTGCACAGCAAGCCTCCTGTGCATTCCTTGTTGCTGTAAATTTTGCCAAGTTAAGTGTTGTTTTCTTAAAATGAAAATGACAAACTGACAGCAAAGATTATTTCTTAAATTTTGATTAATTGGTAACAGAACTTTGTGTAGTCCAATTAAAAAAATGGATTCCCACTTTGTTGTCCTTGGATTTCATTAATCTACTATTATTACAGATTGAATTAGACTCTTCTAAGTCCTATGACCAGAACTAATTTGGTGAGGAATTCACTTTACCTGACATTTTCTCTGAGTTTCTTTACAAGTTTGATATTGACATCTGCTTCAAGTAAAGCAGCGCAGATCTCTTTAAGCATAGCACCAAGGACCTGATGCAAACAAAACATCAATTATTTTTAATCTATACTAAAACTACAAACCCTCTGATCTGGTTACCAAGAGGGACCAAGACTTAATTTCTCCTTACAATATCAATGTGATATCAAGCAGAGGAGTAACAAGAAAAAAGAAAAATATCAACCAGGGGATTGGTATTTATGAAAGGGTTACAACCCCCTCCTGGTTAGCTCAATTGGTAGAGTGCCGGACTGTTGTGCGGGAGGTTGAGGGTTCAAGCCCCGTCCGGACCAACACTCAAGGTCTTAAAATAACTGAGGAGAATGTGCTACCTTTCTATAATATCAAGAAATGGATAGATATTCTAGTCTTCTTGGATAAGGACGAATAAACTGTAGGCCCCGTCTCCTGCAGGGTTAGGGGTAGGAGATGTCAATTCAGGGCTGCAAACAACAGCCGGTCAATGGACAATGTCCGGTCAAAATTGGGTACTGACTGGACAAATCCTTGGTTTGCCGAACATCTTGTCCAGTCCTTTACCGACTCGTTCAAAGAAATTTTAATTTTTAACTGTTTGATAATCACAAGGGACAAAGTCATGTTTCCAAAAGAAAAAAAAAACCAATATAAAAGTAGACAAATTAGTGGTCGAGAAATTCCCGGCAGTCGCAAATTTCCGCGATGTCATCAAGTCCTGTCGCGACCGCAAATCATCGTGTCTTCCGTAATTTTATTTACTTTATTTAAGTGTTCCCAGTTAGTAGAGGGTTTTACCTTTGGCTAGATACCATCATTTACTCTTAAATACAGTGATTGATTGTTTGATTGATTGAATGATCAGAAAGCACCCTCATGAAGATTAATCTTGCTGCATCGAGAATAATCCAAGTAGCATTTGTTGCAAAGTGCAAAAAGCGAGCAAAAGGCCCAAAACCTGGAGAATCCGACCACTCTTTTACTCTCACAAAAATTCCCAACTGTAACTTTAAAAAAAAGGGCTCTGAGTGTAATATTTAATTATTAGTGATTTTGCCAGATGTAAAGTAAAACGGACAATTGCAGTTGTATCTTTCGTAACCGTTCCACGTACTCAATGAGAGGCTGCTTCTGCAGTTAAGAGTAGTAAAATTATTGACTTGTAATTTGTATTGCCAGACCGACTTGGATTCAGTTGTTTTTTAGTTGTAAAAGGATTACTGTGTAATCTGGGTTCACTATCGCAAGAGTTTCGACTGTTAAAATTTGACCGGCCAAAAACGGGTAGTGTCCGAGCAAAAGCATGTTTGACCAGACAACGTGACCAGTGACTGCCCATTAGTTATTTGCAGCCTTGATTTCCCACACACGAGATAACTGCGTGGTGGATGTCCTTCCCTGGGATGGGATGGGTGGGTATATCTGCCGAGGTGGGCTGTATTGCCCTTTGCAGATTAAAACATTGACATAATTAAATTGTGATGGTCAAGACTAAGTTAACACATACACACATCATAACCTAAACATCACAGCCTAAATATCTATTTGTGCTTATGACTGATTTCCTCCTTTACAAACTTGGACTGGTACAAGTGAAGCAAAAAATTTTCAATCTAATGCAGGTATGCACTAAGGATTTAGACTTACACTTCCTTAAATAAGTTTGTATTTTCCTATGCCTTACAACAGAATTGACTCAAGAAGTTCTTTTCAAATTCTTCGTTAATTTCGAACTAAACCACACACATATATATGGTGCAATTCAAAAATATAAGATACAACTTCTATATATGGTGATTTTATCAATTTTGTCCTGCAGATCTTCGTGGGAGTTATGTGAAAATCTGCTTTTGGGATGGAAATTGACTAATAATACCAAAACAAGAGAAAATTCAAATAATGAACAAGAAGTGAACGGTTACATGTGAGAGCATTATCGGGGTATAAACTTCTCTCACCTCTTCATTGATGATGGTTGCATTACTCAAGGAGCGGAGTGCTGTGGTGATTTTCCGTCCTAAATCCGCGAGAACCATTTTTAAGAAATATACTATCCAACTGTGCGTTTTTTTTTTAAATTAAATAGATATAAGAACGTGAGATTAGGCCCAATTTGAAACTATAATAAATCCGTGAAGGTCGCCATGTTTTTGTTCCTTGTGTATTCTCCAGTACAGCGGTTACTATCATAACGCTACGTCACAAATCCCCTTTCCCCCTCGGACAAAACAGCTGTGAGACAACGAGAAGCTTGGCACTAGTAAACATGGCTTCCATCTCGTCAAGTTGTGCATTTTGTTCTGCGGAAAACAGAAATTTATCGAGGTGTTCAAGGTGTAGATCTGTGTTCTACTGCAGCAAGGATTGCCAAAAGTCGCATTGGAAAGCTCACAAGCCAAATTGTAGACCGCCTCTCAAAACAGTACCAGCTAAGGAATTTCCGCAGCCTTCAAGAAGAGATTTGGAAAACATTGCAAGATTTGTATGTAACACTTTGAAAGATAAGTATTTCTGTGTCATCGACGATGTTTTTGAGGACGAAAAAGCGCTGGATATTTTGAACGAGGTGAATCAGTTGCACAACTCAGGTGTTTTTCAAGACGGGCAGCTCAGCGGTGGAAACACGGCTTCAGCTAAGGGGCAGAAGTTTACAGAGAAAAGGATTCGAGGGGACGAGATAACTTGGTTAGAGGGCAATGAGGAACATGCGCCAAATATCGTTAAGCTAATAGATTTTGTAGACACTTTAGTGATTCATTGTAACAATCTTCCTGATGGGATAAATGAGTTTCGCATTGAAGGACGTGCAAAAGCTATGGTGGCTTGTTACCCTGGTAACGGAACGGGGTACTCTCGGCATGTTGATAATCCGGACGGAGATGGGAGGTGTCTGACTGTCATCTACTATCTCAACCAGGGGTGGAGTGAGGAAAATGGGGGGAAGTTAAGAATTTACAGAGAGAATGGCCATGTTGATGTGGAGCCATTCCTTAACAGATTGCTGATGTTTTGGTCGGATAAGCGGAATCCTCACGAGGTATTACCCGCATATAGCACCAGGTATGCTATAACTATTTGGTATTTTGATTCCGAGGAGAGACAGAAAGCAAAGCAGCTTTACCGGTACAAAGTTAGGGGTAGTTTAGAAGTAGAGTTTGCACTAAAAGATGTAGAGGCTAAGAAGAAAGAGAGAGACTTTGCTGAGGCGAAGCTAAGGGAAGAATCAGAGAAGGTGGTGAAGAATTTGTTGTCTGAGCAGGACTTAGAAGCGCTCTCTGGGCTGATTAAATACCATCCTAATCCGTATGAAGTGCTGAGTGGACTGGGAATACATCAGCGTGTACAAGAAGCTGTGCTGAAACTACTGAAAGAACGATGAATAAACTTGACTTTTCGGTTTTGCCGTCAGTGAAGAGTTGCTTACACTCAATGTTATGGTGTTTCCTGAGAAAGCAATGTTTTCTACAAAATCTGGACATTTTCAACCACGCTTTTTGGACCAGTACAGAGTATAGGAAAATGATCGAGGAAGGGTAAAAATTGGGTTCTTACGCTCAGAAAGAAAATAAGAAAAACTGATTCCTACGCTCCAGAAAATAAAAGGGCACCTAGTGAGAAAAAAAAAAAGGATCGAAAGGTTTTTAAAACCCTTTAACTCCCAGAGGTGATGAACTTGTAACTTCTCCTTACAGCATCCATACGTTATCCAGCAAACGGGTAATGAGAATACTCAGTTATCAGGGAGAAGTTGTTTTGTTGATCTAACACTAAATTATCATAGCTAATGTGCAAGGAAATGTGTCGCTAACTTGAAAGGACAGTTGGAAAAATCAGAGAAAGTGGAAAACAAGGTAACTCGGAAGGAATATGTGTGGCATCAGGTTAAAAAAAAAAAAAAAAGCATTAAAACTCGTGAATAACACCATGCAACGTTTGGCATTTTTTTGCCAAGTAAATGTGTCAGTTGTGTCAGGCCAGAAAAGTTTTACTATTTCTTTTCCGCGGCGGAAGCGGGGGAGTAGGAGAAGGAAGGGAGAGTGCAACACAGTCTCGCGTCGTTAACGAAGCTGTCCAAGAAATTTAATCGTTTCATATAATCATAGTAATTATGATAATCTATCATGTAATCCTCTCTATAAAGCGTAGTTAAACGTAATGCCTGTTTTTAACCAGATTACTCGTCATCTCGTCTTTATATTTGTTATCCTCAATTTATTTCTCTTCATCAGTTAATTCTATTTCGGGAGAATCGCAGAGAAGTACTTCAATTTCTTGTAGTGCAACACGCGAACCGGGCATCGCTCGGCCTGACAAAAACTCCTCACACTTTTTCGCCGCTGATTTTCCTTGCAAAGCTTTGAACAGAAAACGAGCTTGTTCTTCAGTAATTGTCCCGCACTTTTCGCGGTCCAGCATTTCAAATTCCCACTCCACATCGCGCATTAGAAAACTGCGGCGGTCGATTTCGTTGAGTATGTCCAAGACTTCTTCCTTTAAACACAAGTCGCAGAAACAAACTGCCAGTATCGCCGCTTGTACTTGACGCAAGCTTATCGAATTTCCTGGTCGAAGGCTATGATAAATTTTTTGTATTTCTGTGGCGGTAATTTCGTCTAATATTTTCCCTTCATTTTCCAAGTAAGTTGACAACAAGCTTTCAAATTTTTCATCCTGAGAAGAGACAGCCATAACTTACTTTGCTTATCTCCGTCGCTGTGAAAATTATTCGAACTGACAGTTTGGCAATGAAGAAAACACCTGTATTTGTCTTTGGACTCAAATCCGGCTCAGCTATTTAAGTGTTAAGCATTTTTCGTACGTAAATGAGTTTATCAAAGCCTTATGGAGCCCATATCCATCTTTAGCTTGATACTGCATCGATGCGCTTGGTGTTTCTCTTGTAAAATATATCATCAAGTTTCTTTATGACGCGAACGGTTTAGTAATTTGAATAAATAAGCTCTCATTCGTCTTGGCAGGGGTTGATGAAGATACAATATTTATAAAGCAAACATCTGCCTTTTTTCAATTGTTCAGCGACGATGACCTAACCAGAAATAGAATCGTCCACAAAGTGCATTGCATCAAGTCATTTTCACATTTTACTTAGGAGAGTAGTTTGTAACTCCATCTCATTTCTACAACACATTTAAAATTCCAGGTTGCAGCGAAATAATCAGTTTTTGGCAATATCTTCTCCGTAGATATGACAAAGCCTGCAAAAAAAAAAACAAAACAAACAACAACAAAAATCATCCTAAAGCTTTGCAACGTTCTTCGTGTCAATTTGACAGCAACAGGTTCAGTCTTAGGTGATGAAACATTGGTAAAAAGAGAAAAACAGGAATATATTTTCTATTCACGACAGCTTTCTAGCATTTTGTCACGCGCCCAAAACACAACTTAGCACCTTCTCAAAACGTGTGAATTGGGTTCAAAGCGGCTGCGGATCGCTAGAAATATTCCGGCTTTCTCTCACTTATTTTATTTTGTGACCATCACATTTTTCGTGCAGTTAAACGGCCCCTTGGCTCCTTCTAAGTTTTTTTTTTTTTTCAATTTCGTCGAAACAAGCTTGTATTGTTTTCATCAAGTCAAAGAGGAGCGTCACTGAGTTGATAGTTTGTTTCTTTTTTAAAAGTAATTCGGCTCTTACTCAAATAAGGGACGGACCATCATTTTTTCTGTAGAGGGGGGTATGAGAAATTTTCTTTTGCAAACTTTTTTTTAAAAACATACGTCTCCGCAACATTTTTTCAACATCACCTTCACGCAAACAATTTTTTCCCAAATATTTTTTTCAGTGTTCTTTTTAGTTGTGCTAAATATTACCAATGCTTTCTTGAACTATTTTACGAAGAAAGTAATCAATAGCGCGAGAGCCAATTATTTTTTCGATATACTTTGGCAATGATATCTTTTAATATCTTATCCGACTTCTCTACAAACTTTTTTTTACCTATCAGGGTTTGATATCAATTTATTTTGCCTTTTCAGATTCTGCAAACAGTTTCTTTTCCAATGTTTCTCATAACCCCTCCAGAAATATGATGGTCCGTCCCTAAAAGGAGAATTGGAAAATTATTGAGGTAGCAACGCACAAAAATGTTGAGCACTTCTGAACTATTCCTAGTTACAAGGTGGGCCCTTATTCGAGGTTGGGCACTTACTTGAATAAACGGTACTTAAATGTTACTGTCTTGTCTCGTTATGTTGTACCCCTATTCTACCTGAACGAACCCCAATTAGCAAAAGACAAAAGTCTTTAAGCACGTTTTTATTATCATAACTTTAAAGAAGCGTTTATTCTCCAATGTGAGATGAGATTAGTCACATTCCATAACTTACGTTTACATGAATCATTGATCGAGATTATGCGTCGATCAATTGGAAGCTTTGACGTCCCCCCCCCCCCTCAGACAATCTCACGGGCATTTTTAAGAGTAGTTCATTCAAATTCCTGCCCCCCCCGGGCCAAAATCGCGTTCAAATGCCCCACCCAAGTGGCACAGTTGATAATCAGCGACCGCATCTTTCTTGTAAACATTTTCTCAAGAGCCATCTGCTCGCGAAAGCGAACTCTATACTTTCAAACACCTTATTAAAAGATAAAACACATGCGTTCCGCTGGAAAGACTTAGTAGTTTCGGTTTAAATTCCCCACCGCACCCAGACAAGGTTCAAATTCCCCATCCCGCGGGATCAGGAGACAGTCAAATGCCCGTGGCTTGCCGGATGGGTGTTAAAGCTTCGAATAGATCGGTGTATTACTGTTTGAAGATCAACTTTAAATATTCTTTTGTATAAAGGATGCTTTAAGTCACGAGCGTTCTGGTAAAATATGCGAGTTAAGGAGAAGAATTTCGAACACTATTTACAAAGTGCCTTAGTTGTCCGAACAAAAATTGCCTCGACAAATAACTAAATACTTGTCTACGGGCAATTCGAAAGGGTTTATGACGCTTCAAGAAAGAAGCTTGATTTTAAATGTCTGAAATGTTGTGGTAAATATTGAATCCGTAAGAAAAATAATACACATACAGCTTTTGAATTAATCGGCGATGCCGCAGTTCAGTTCAAAGCAGTAAGCCGGTAAATTGCGTGAGAGTCACGCTAAGATGCTGTCACGCAACAATTTGGGATGGTCCCTGGAAAACCTTTAAAATGACCTGCGTTGTCCTTCAGTTGAAATCTTGTCACGATGGCCGCCTCTGTTGAATGCTGTTTCTCGAATAAACCTTCTAGTCCACTGGAATTAGTCATCTTAATTAACACTTAAAGGTATGACCACCCGTACTGTTGCGGTTCTACAACGACCTCTTATCAAAACCCTCCTCGACTGGAGTTTGAGGAACTAACTGAAATAGGTTTTCTACTTTTTCCAGCAGCAGTTTTGTCACTCCTAGAAAAAGAAGACGAGAAACGCTAAGTCAGTTTTTTTCAAAGTTAAATTTACGAAACGTTTTTAAAAATTCAAAGCTTCTTTAAAAATTACTTCAAGTTGTCCACAACTTTCTCAAACGTACGTCTTTTCCTTAGCTGTTTTTGACGCCGTTTTGACGCCACTCGTCGATGAAGTACTGCGAGCCGCAGGGTTACCACTTGCATTTAGTGATCCTTTCCAGGCCCCGGCAGATGTCGAACTTGTGCTCGGACTAGCTGTGCTAGGGAGGGCAGAAGAAAGGCTGGGAAGTCTTTGAAGACTGGACGACGGTGAGCCCTTTAATCCAGAGTTTCTTTGTGGTACTGTCTTCTGAGATGCTTTGGCCACGCCAGTTGAAGCTGCCAACATTAGAGGGAAGCAAAGACAGCAATCACTATGGGCTATGTTTGGACTTTACCAATCACCATTTAAACAATTTTATATATTAAGTGCTTACAAACGAGAGAAAAAGTACCGACAACGACCACCTTCCGAAAGCGCGGGAAATAGCTGGTGACCACGTCGCGGTTGGTTTTAAATTTTCATCTGATTGGTTGAAAAGTTGGCGCGACTTTTCTAGACCAATCACAAAGCACGTTAGGACACGAAGTACTTCATATAATACTTGGTAATTTTGTAGTGAGAGTGCCAAGATACTTACAGGATCCAGAGTTAGAAGGCGTACGCTTGAGTGATGAATGACTTTCAGGTTTACTTGCCTTCCCTTTCGCCGCAACAACTGTAACATCGTCAAAGGTAAACGTCAACAAGCAGGGTTTTAAATACCAAAGAAAATTGGGAAGTATGTTAAGAAAATACTTTTGAATTTAGAGTGACTATCATATATTTTGATACGATTTCAGCGTAATGCACTGATAAATATCTAAGTCATTTGCGTACCACAAACATAAACTGTCAGAGAGGTGAATGGCGCATAAGTGAAAGCTCTTGCCTCTTGCCTCTTCACCATTCCCGCACGATACCGACTGCCAAGTTTTCCCGCCAAAACAACCTGCCAGGCGCGCGCTTGATTTTCTTCTCGCCTATCTGGAGAACGTTAACAACACAATTTGTCAATAACTAAAGAAGGTCTCACCTTTTCTCTTGTCATCTTTGCTGCCTTTCCTTCTGGGATCCGAAACCTTATTTGCCCCAGCAAGTTCCTCTCTCTCTTTCTCCTCCTGCAGACAATAAAACAAGGATTTCAATAACCTTTTCTATAACCGGCTCTTATTGAGATCCCGAGATTACCAGCATCTTGCTTTGGACGTGAGCCACGGTTTTATAAGAATCGATGCACGTGCAGGACAGAAGAAAGATATCGTTCTTTACCATGACTATTAAAAGTCTTTCCTCCTCTTCTTTCTGTTGATCTAACTTGTCGTCTTCATACTTTGTTTTATCCAACTTCATAAACGCCTTTAAGTAATGAACAAATTGACAACAAGGTTAACTTTATACGAGTGAATAGACGCGCTTTACAGTAAAGTCGTTAGCGTATTAAATATAAAACCTTTCACTGCGGTGGTTAAGGAATCAAAAGGACGATAAGACCATACCTCTCTGACTGCATTGCACACGTCAGGCTCCTTTTCATTGCTCAGCAGATTCCTAATGCACTGCTCCAGTTGTTGCAACAAATGCCTGTCTGACGGTAACTTTAGCAACGATTTAAGGCGCGGAGGAACTATACAGAACTTTAATCTAACATTTAACACAGGGTCCTGCAAAACAAAAACAAAGAGTGCGATAAGCGTAAAAAAAAAAAAAAAACACTGCTCGGAAATACAACTTTGACACCAGGTTTTAAACGCGAGATTTCATTAGTTTTAGCTCAGCTGATACATTTTGCAAAGTTGTTATGAGAACTGCCGAGTCGACAGCTACAACTTTTAAATTAAGTTTTTTTTAATAAAGTTCAATTAGTGCAACGGAGCAAAATAGTAAACGGCGCTTCAGTAGCAGCAAAGGGAAAATGGAGGAGGCCTGAGATGATCACGTGGATGAGAGCATTGGCGACTCGACCCAGGCCTTACGCTTGTTTCACGCGCCGTTTACCAATTCACGCCGTTTCACTAACTGAACTTGTGGAACAGGCTTCTGAAAGGTCTACAACCGAATAATGGTGGTTACTTACCGAGCCCAATTCTAATAAAAATTCAAAGAAATTCTCCTTGAAAAATCGACGCGAAAATAATTCCATTATGAACTTGCAAATATCTATGAATAATAGTCTACTTCTGTAGCTTTTTCCTCTTCCACATTCTAAAATAAAAGAGAAAAAAATTAGAACTTGAAAATATGAAGAGCAACATTCGAGCGCCTTTTGACTGAGTGTCGTAAGACCAAAGCCAAAGAAATCACAACAGCCAATCAGAAGAAAGAAAGAAAAATCCCAAGGACCAATGAGAATTCAAAGTAAAACAAGAAAACTGCCTAAAGCGCGGGAAAACGCAGGTGACCAGATCACGTTGGTTTAAGGTTTGAATCTGATTGGTCGAGGAAGTGGCGTTGAGAAACTTTTATAATCAGTTACATGACGTACAAATGAAACGCTAAGAGAGCAGCTTTCAACTGACGTACTCCAGGATTTCATTAGTTTAGCTTCACCTCGCTCAGTGATTGTGAATGGTCCAAAAACTCACGTCACTCTTTCAGGCAGTCAGATGATAACATTGGCGAGAAGTTTTCTGACAGCGTTACCTTGTATAAGTCTACAGCACAATTCTTGTCTTTGCTCAAATCTTCTGTTGTATCGAATGAAAACACACAGTGTGTGTGCAGCTGCTAACTTGACCGGTAAAACACGCTAAAGGAAAAAAAAAAAACAAAGAAAATCATTTAAAATGCACGAAGATACAGTTAATCTCTCATCTCCTTTATCTCGTCTCCTTTACTTGTTTGAGCAGGTTGAATTATGGCAGCTATTTGCTGATGTGGACCTGCTATCTTCCCACCCACCCCACCCCAGGGGAGGACATCCATCACACAGTAATCTCGTGTGTCGGAAATTAACGTCTCCTACCCCAACCCTGCAGGAGACGGGACCTCCGTTTATTCGTCCTTATCCGAGAAGACTAGAATATCTTACCATTTCTCGGTGTTATAGAAAGGTAGCAAATTCTTCTAAATTATTTTAAGACCTTGAGTGTTCGTCTGGCCGGGGCTCGAACCCTCGACCTCCCGCACAACAGTCCAGCGCACTATCCATTGGGCTAACTGGCCGGCGGTCAGTTAGCCCAATGGCTATCAGTATCCTACAGTGTCTAGTTCATAATGGTTATTGAAACGAATGGTGTACGCCTTTTTCTGNAAAAAAAAAAAAAACACTGCTCGGAAATACAACTTTGACACCAGGTTTTAAACGCGAGATTTCATTAGTTTTAGCTCAGCTGATACATTTTGCAAAGTTGTTATGAGAACTGCCGAGTCGACAGCTACAACTTTTAAATTAAGTTTTTTTTAATAAAGTTCAATTAGTGCAACGGAGCAAAATAGTAAACGGCGCTTCAGTAGCAGCAAAGGGAAAATGGAGGAGGCCTGAGATGATCACGTGGATGAGAGCATTGGCGACTCGACCCAGGCCTTACGCTTGTTTCACGCGCCGTTTACCAATTCACGCCGTTTCACTAACTGAACTTGTGGAACAGGCTTCTGAAAGGTCTACAACCGAATAATGGTGGTTACTTACCGAGCCCAATTCTAATAAAAATTCAAAGAAATTCTCCTTGAAAAATCGACGCGAAAATAATTCCATTATGAACTTGCAAATATCTATGAATAATAGTCTACTTCTGTAGCTTTTTCCTCTTCCACATTCTAAAATAAAAGAGAAAAAAATTAGAACTTGAAAATATGAAGAGCAACATTCGAGCGCCTTTTGACTGAGTGTCGTAAGACCAAAGCCAAAGAAATCACAACAGCCAATCAGAAGAAAGAAAGAAAAATCCCAAGGACCAATGAGAATTCAAAGTAAAACAAGAAAACTGCCTAAAGCGCGGGAAAACGCAGGTGACCAGATCACGTTGGTTTAAGGTTTGAATCTGATTGGTCGAGGAAGTGGCGTTGAGAAACTTTTATAATCAGTTACATGACGTACAAATGAAACGCTAAGAGAGCAGCTTTCAACTGACGTACTCCAGGATTTCATTAGTTTAGCTTCACCTCGCTCAGTGATTGTGAATGGTCCAAAAACTCACGTCACTCTTTCAGGCAGTCAGATGATAACATTGGCGAGAAGTTTTCTGACAGCGTTACCTTGTATAAGTCTACAGCACAATTCTTGTCTTTGCTCAAATCTTCTGTTGTATCGAATGAAAACACACAGTGTGTGTGCAGCTGCTAACTTGACCGGTAAAACACGCTAAAGGAAAAAAAAAAAACAAAGAAAATCATTTAAAATGCACGAAGATACAGTTAATCTCTCATCTCCTTTATCTCGTCTCCTTTACTTGTTTGAGCAGGTTGAATTATGGCAGCTATTTGCTGATGTGGACCTGCTATCTTCCCACCCACCCCACCCCAGGGGAGGACATCCATCACACAGTAATCTCGTGTGTCGGAAATTAACGTCTCCTACCCCAACCCTGCAGGAGACGGGACCTCCGTTTATTCGTCCTTATCCGAGAAGACTAGAATATCTTACCATTTCTCGGTGTTATAGAAAGGTAGCAAATTCTTCTAAATTATTTTAAGACCTTGAGTGTTCGTCTGGCCGGGGCTCGAACCCTCGACCTCCCGCACAACAGTCCAGCGCACTATCCATTGGGCTAACTGGCCGGCGGTCAGTAAAAAAAAAAAAAAAAAAAGTCCCAAGATCATGAGAATAACGGAAATGATCGCCAATCTAAGAAGCTTTGACTGTTGAGCGAAGTCTCCAGATACACAGGCATGCGCCCTTTACTCCTCACGCTCTCACATCAGTATTCATATTCTCCATACTTTTCTCTACTCATTTCCTTAGGTACTGACAAGGAGAATTCGCTTAACAGTCAGAACTTCTTAGGCTGGCGATCATTTCCCTTATTCTCATGATCTGAATCGATGATTCAGCAGTGTTGCTGTAAGGAGAAATTAGATGCTGGTCACTCTTAGGGTTTTAGAGGGTTAAACATCATAACACTGAACAATAAAACTTACATTTGATGATAATAATCTGAAGAACAGCGGTACAAACTTGTAGTATATTTGATCCGACGTCAAACACTTGGGAAAACATGAAAACTTCTCTAATAGTTGTACATGGAGGCGCCAGTTACTTGAAGAATCCACAGCGAGTTCACAAGCGATCAGCGATGGTATAAGGTTTGACAAATTATTAAGCTGAAAAAGGAAACATTTCAGAATGTATACATAGTATGTTACTGCGTCTTTTCACGAGGAGTTATCAACAAGAGTGAGTAATTCGAAACCGTAAAGGAGCACGTAATGTTTTGTTTATTGCATAGATATTAACGAGATATTTAAATCAAAGAGATTTATAACACATTACTGGATCACCAAATGCAGACATCTTCTGCATGAAACTTAACTTGCCGAAATGCTTTTTTCTTTCCGACAAAAAAATAAAACAAGTTCTGTTCATGCAACGACTGTAAGAAAAATTCAATTTAACCATAGTCACGTTCCGTAACCGAAAAAATAAACATAAAACTGAACAGCTAAACCACCACATTGATAAACCCAGTTAAGTTGACAACATTGTTGTTTTCAAAAGAGAATTCGCGCGACGAAGATATCTTGTGTTGGATACAGGAGAAATTCTGGTATTGCATTGATATCGATATACCATATATTGTTAAAAACTGGATCCTTGGATAATGTAATTCAAGACTTTTTATTGGCTTAGCCATTATGGTATATGAGCCAATATACCATAATCTACAAATATGGCAAGCGTAAAATCAAAAAGGAGCTAAAAAATCCGGTTTTTTCTTACAAAATAATAGTTTCTTGGGGGAGTTTTAAATAAAACAATTATTCCACTCGCGCTTGTTGGATATGAGATGATTATAGCTATAATCGTTGACTTGCCTCGTTGGCTATAATAGATAGCCAACGAGGCGTAGCGCCTCGTTGGCTATCTATTTAAACAATAGAGCGTTTCTGTCGAGGAACTATCGGCTGATAGTTGCCCCGCGGAAATTTGATGTTCTTAAAGCAAATATTTTCCCGAGAAGCGAAGCTTCGAGGGCAAATATGCTACTTTTAAGAACATCAAATTTCAAAGGGGCAACTATAAGACCGATAGTTCCGAGACATAAACACTCTATTGTTTTTATTGTTCACCACTAAATTTTCTTCCGCGCCTACAGCTTGTCACAAATGTCAATAATTCGCAAACGTACATTGGCTAAATAATACGTTATACCTGTCAGAATTGAAAAGTCACTGTTTTTCCGATCTGCCTAACTTCGCGGCCGTCAAACTATTCAAAACTTTTCACGGATGAGTACTATCAATCCAGGTATTTTCCGCGGACGGGCACTATCCATCCGGGTATTTTCCGCGGGCGGGCACTATGGGCTGATAGTATCTCTCTACGGATGACTCGCGTCACGTGATCGATTTAAACCAATAAGAACCGGAGAAAATTTAGTGGTGAACTATAA